TACATATATATATATATATATATATATATATATATATATATAAGAATTTTAATATGAAAGCAACCATCTAACTTAAGATACTTCAATGAACCATCTATAGATTAATCCATGTAACAATTGAAATACTTATTTTCACCAAGATTTGTGCTTGTGTGTCTCAAAAACTATCCATACCTGGAGCCCTGTTTTCCATAACCATCAGTCTGAGCACAACACCTTGAAGCTTGCCAGTAATTCCTTCTGCAGATGTGCTATAGTCTGACAAGTCAAGACGAAAGCGAGGACAAGCAAGATCCACTCCTCCAGGTTCCGGAGCAAGACGCACTATTACCTCAGTGTGGTTACTTCTGGAAACTGGTCGTCCAGCATCCTCAGCCGATACAGTAAATCTGTAAATGCGCGGCCATGTATCCAAGCCGAGTAGAGGAGTCGAATTTACCTCAGAGGAACTTGCCATGGCATTAGAGCCCCCGGAGTGTGGAGTTTCTACAAGTCCAGTAGAAATTACTGATGAAGGTTTGTAAATAGTGGACATAAACCTCGAAGTCGTCTGAAGTAGAGGCAACAAGGGACGATTCAAGTATATATCACCAGAGGAGCTGTCGATTCTAAAATTGCCTTCACTATTACCTGAAAAGAAACATGGATAAAATGAAAATAGGAATAAGCATAGCATATCTTAAATTTCTTAAAATGTAAAAAGCATCAAGAAGGCATTTGTGCAGGCAAAATGAAAATTAGTTCTGGGTTTAAGAATACATATATCCATCCATATATATATATGTGTGTGTGTGCATGTGTATATGTGTGTGAAAGATGACATATTTATTGTAAAAGTGAATCGGATTTACCAGGAATATGATGATAAGGCAACTCATGTAAAAATTATAACAGTGAATATTCTATTTAAACAGTGACAAGCTTTTATTGATGTTGACTCATAGCTTTGTTATTAACACCATTGGGAGCAATAAAAATTTAATTTAGCTAAAATAATGAAAACCAATATTGAAAACGGCGTACATGGGCGATAGTATAATGTATTAAGCAGTAGTTCAGCATTATTGGTTTGAATACACATCAACACCATATACAAAATAATTAACGTTTGGGCTAGCATAAGGTAGCGCAGATAGAAGAACCAAAGGGAAACAGAATTCGAGTGAAATGAAGGATGAATGGGATATTTAGAAAGAATTATAGGAAAATGAAGACTGTTGGTTTGTCAAGTTAAGGTCACTGCTGAATTATAAAATACCAAATCCAATGCCAAATACAAAATAGGAAAGACATACAAAGTTAATCATAGGGAAATGCTATACAAAGTCTTAAGTTTTAAACTTGATTAATAAAGAATCAAATTAGATATTAATTTCAAGGTCATATAAGATTAAGGTAAGCTTTAAAGTCAAAAATAATATCGAATTCAAATAAAAGTTGACGGTTTATACTGAATTGCAAGTAATTTGAAGTATAATTATGAAAAACAGCAGAGCTAGTGTAAGTATATAAGGGCGATAAACTTCAGGGCTGATAATGAGCAAAACCAGAAAAAG